TATTCGTATCCTATTCCAATACTCACAGGCCTTTGGGCATTCCCACCACTTATGGTAATATGATCCTATTGCTGTTTTACATTTCCAGCATAAAGGTGAGATATTTGGACCCATTTTGGCTAGCCTTACGGGTGGGAAGTGCCATCTATAAAACATCTTGTAGAGATTTTCCTTGTACGAGGTAGCTAGAGTGAGTTTCCCATTTCTTTTCCACAGTTCTTGCCAAATATGCAGATCGATACTGAAACCAAAATCCCTATTCCAAATTAGCATAGTCTCCTTGACCTGTTCTTCATACATTGCCTGATCTAAAAGAAAGTGATATATATTTTTTAATTATTTTAAAAATACAAAATGATAAACAATATATAGTCCAGTAATGGATGGCAGACTGGATGGCCGTCAATGTGCTGTTGTGTAAAAGCTGGGATCTTACTGAATAATAGTGGTGTGTAGAATGTGGCTTAATTAAAGTCTTCAGGACATCTAATTGCTGATGTTGCCTTGAAGACAAAGAAAATCCAAAGCTACAGAGACAGAATTATAGCAGAAGTGTGAAATGTAAAATACATAAATATAGGAAAGTTGAAATGAATTGACTCTACACTGATATTTTGGACAATATCAGCCAATTGAGACTGACTGCAATTAGCACTTTCAGACAGAAGATCACTGTTTGCTGCATAGGACATGAAAAGCAAAGAAGAAATGGTATTGCTTTTATAGTGAATGGTGTAGAAAGAACAGTATGCAGTCAATGACCACATTAAACTTTGTGGACAATCATTTTATATGATGATCATCCAAACTGATGCACCAACTACCAGTGAAAAAGAGAAGGTTGATTAATGTTATGATTAAAAGAGATGGACTGAAATGAGAAATAAAGCAAATTATGATGTGCTTCTTATATATATAGAATGGAATGCCGAAGTTTAAAATATTAAGAAGAAATGTAGTTTGTTATATGACCTAGAAAATGGAAATAAAGCAGGAGAATGTCTTATCAATTTCAGTTAATCCACCACATCTTCATTTCTAACACAATCCTCAAAAAAACAAAATACCGATATACATGGACAACATCAACTGACTACATTATTGGTACAAGGAGGTGGAAGAACTGTTATAGCAGCAAAGATCTGGCCAGAGGCTTTAGTTGAAAAGATCACAACTTCCTTGTATGTAACTTCCAAGTAGAGATTAAAAAAGAAGAAAACCAACCAGTTTCTATATGATGTTGAACATGAACAGTACCCGTTTTTTTCAAAGAGAACACCAGGGAATCATTCTAAAGTCCTGAACCTCATTGATAGGAAACAGGATAAATTGTTGATTATAATAAAAAAAAAGTTACTAATGGTGAATGTGAAAAGAGATTGCCAAGCACCAAGCAACAGAACAAACAAAGTAGATATCAGAACAAGCCATAGAAATTGTCAAGAAGAGAAGATGGAGCAAAAAAGACAAAGGTCTCAGGAAGGAACTTAATAAAGAATTTCAGAGAGCTGTTGAAAGAGCAAAAAACAGTATTATCCTATACTGTATGTAAAGACATTGGACATGGAAAGAGATGTGAACAAACAGGAAGTCTTCCAAGGTCTCTGAATTCAGAGATTCCAATATTCAATTGGTATTCTGAAAGATGCTACTGAACAAAATACTAAGACTAAGGATTTATTGTCTAAAGAATAAGGCTGTTTGAAATGAGATTTAAACAAGACAAAACAAACTTTTTCAAAGAGCATAATTAACTTGTCAAATTTACAACAAGTTGTGATAATGACCACTAATTTGAATAATTTTAAAAGGAGATTAGATACATTTATGCAACAATACCTATCAAGGACCATTGATCTTGAAGACTGTTACATATGAATTGGAGATATTATGCTTCAAATACAAAACTAATGACAGGGGAACAGCAATTGAGTGTGCTTTCATGCTCTGTTTATGAGCCAAGGAATTTGTTTGGCCACTATAAGAAACAAAATGCTAAACTAAGATGGATCTTGGTCTGATGCGGTAAGGCTATACTTAAGATGACATGGAAAGAATGGACAGAATAGTTCTGTCTTCATCATAATATTAGAACTGAATGACACTGAATTAGAAATTAGGTCAGGGGTGTCAAACTGCTGGCCCGTGGGCCAGTTGCACCATGCGGAGGCTGCGCCCACCCCAGTTCCGACAATGCAAAAAAAGTTGCAATATCTCACAACACGTCACATGACACTGCAAGTTTGACACCCATGAATTAGGTGAAAAGCAAAAATCAGAACAAGAGCTACCACCGAGAATGTATAATTTTGTAAATTTTGATGTTTCAAGATACATTATAAGCCATATGCATGATGTGTGAAAAAAGTAGATTAAGAGATATTTTTCCTCATTGATTAGATTCTATTGAACCACTCAGCAGAGTTTTTATACCTTTGATTGTAATATTTTTCTATGGAAGCTGTTCAGGATGACTTGCAGGCATTGTATTTTCATGGCCTGCTGGTTGGTTCATAGTAATGCCATTAAGTATCAAGAATTGCATCTTCTCTCCTGTTCAGTGTCTAAATGAAATTAATGTGATTATCCAACGATTTCATGAGACACTAATAATGCAGTGACATAACCAATTCAATTCCTTTTCATTTAAATCAATTCTGATTGATTCAGCAAGTTTCTTATTTTGTCATTATTTGTATTACATTTTGATTCCCCACAACTGTTCTTAATGAGCAGTCATAGCAACTCAGCATTTCATCAAAATGAAGAAATGTGTACAGTGATGTCACAATGCACATATCTTATGTATTGAGTGATGTTGTATGATGAGTACAAAAGGGGCAAAATTTATATCACATTATAGAGATGGCCATGTTGTCATTAATTAAAAAACTGATCACTGACAGCAAAATTGTTATTTAGTCTCTAGCTGCTAATGTCATATTCCTATTATTAAAAAATAAATATATGTAAAGTTCCAAGTGTGAATAAAACTTTATTCATTGTCAACATTTAAATACTGTCAACGGTTAAATACTGTATAACAAAGCTCACAACAATATACAATTTAAACTTAAGAGAGTCCATCTTCAGAATTTTAACTAACATCTGATTAACATCTGATTTTAAAAATAATATATCAAAGTACTGCAGAGATATGGCTTGTCAAAGCAGATGTGATTTAACTCAGTTGGAACATTGGCCAATTCAGAATAAGAATGCTTCCTCATTCTGAAATGATAGAAATATGTCACTTTGATATCTGTAGAAATGTCTGAAAGTATTGTTTCTACATTAATTTGGCCAGATATCAATACATAAGATGGATTATTTAAATAATCATAATATGCAACTTTTAATATTAGAATGTTTTCTTGTCATCTGCCAATTATTACCTTTCATATCTATCTATCTATCTATCTATCTATCTATCTATCTATCTATCTATCTATCTATTATACTATAATTTAGATTTATAATATCCACTTTTATTTACTTATGACTTAATGTGATGTATACGCCATTAAGTGTGGCTAATGTATGAATCAACTAAGCATGGTTTGTTCAATAAATCAGGAATTGATATGCTAGTTTAATGTTTGATCCAGTCTAACATGTTATTTGATCACAAGAAATGTACCTGCTCTAATTATGATTAAATAGATATATAAAAGCATTTCTTATGCATCTTTCATAAGTGTAATCTTTCAATGTCATGTTTGAGTTTCAAATGTTAAATATATACACATTTCTGGTACAATATTTAATTGTGTAGACATTAGTCAATTTGAAAAGTATCAAAATGAAAAAAGAGAAATAATAGCATCACATTTAATATATTGCCATAATATAGATATGACTGTCTATTACTTCGCAATAATTTTCAGTGAAATACCTGGAATAGTTCAGCTATGTTACTGAAGTTCAATTATTTAATTATGTCCTATCATTATGTTGTTGATTACAGGACATACCAGAATATTGTTCATATTAATGGAATTATTGCTGTGAACCAGAATTATGGTATGGATGTCCATATAGGTTTCCTAAATAAATAAATAAACAAAACTCTGTTGCATGAACATCAATTATTCTCGGGTACATATAAATAAATATGTTGTGGAATAGCTTTTTGAAGAAGGTTTACTTTAGATTTTAAGATTTCACATGAGAGTTCATTTATCTAGCAGTTCAGTATTTTGTTATACGTGTGAATCTAAGAAACATATGATTAATAAAAGAAGTTATCCTTTTTCTTATTTTCTTTGTAAACCTGGCCCTTTGTGTTTATACAGCATGCTTAGCCATTGTCAATTTAACTACGGTTTACTTAACATAACTGATTTTCTAGTTTTAATCAAAACTTTTGTATGATCTAAGTATTATTATGTGCTAAAACTGAGTGATTATTATTTCGTTATTTCAATATTTTTAATAATCTAGGAACTTATATATTTTCATTAATAAAACATTGTGACACATCACTGATATAGATGCATATGAGTGAATCTGAATTAGCACAAATCTTAATAGCTATAACATACTGATAAAATAATTGTTTTCTAAATCATAATTTATAAAATAGCCAATGAACTCCCTACAATTTTATATACCGTTTGGCATTCTTTCCCTGTAAAAAGAAAAACAAACATTAAGAATGACACACAAAAATCTACATCCTAGAACAGGTGTCAAATAGGCAGCCCATGGGCTGGATGCATCATGCGCAGGCCATGCCCACCCCAGCTCTGAAAAGCAAAAAAGTCACAATACATCATGATATGTCACGTGACACGATTAAGTTTGACACCCGTATCCTAGAAAAAAAAATTTCTATATAGAGAGAATATAGCTCACTTTTTTATTCAAGTGCTGAAAGTGCAGGAAAATAGAGAGCACAATAATATTTTATAAAGAATAGCTACATTTTGGAACTGTTTTATTTTTAATTTATTAAATTTGTTTGCCACTAAACTTACCACAGGGTAACTCTTCAATTTAAAACCGTTTCCCAAATTTGCTTTTGTTAAGTCTCTGTGCCCACCACATTATTATCTCATTATATTGCACAATTTCTATAAATCCTGAAAGAAGTTGATTACGAACAAGCATACACTGATAGTAATTGACATATTAACATAATAAATAATAACATTTATCATTACCTTAATAGCAATAGCAAGACCACTTAAGACTTATGTACCGCTTCATAGTGATTTACAGCACAATGTTATTACTAGTTAGGAGAACGTGTATTACATGTATTATACTGAATAGTTACAGAGATTTCAGAAAAATGGATGCTAAAATACTCTCTGATATTGCATATAGCTGGGTGGGTGGCGAAAATTGTGGTTACTTATTGTTGAAAATTCCCGACGGCTACTGTTCCAGTTCAATATTGTATTGATATGATATACACATTTATCACAAATAAATAAATTCAAGGTATTCAAGCACACTCCAATCACAATATAACAATGAATCAAGCCAGTTAGGCAAGCTCCAAAATATGCAAACAAACATAAGTTTTATACTGATGATACCATGTTGGCCCAATTGAACAACCATAGGTTGCTGGTTTAATTTGGTTTCCAGCAGATCGACCATGTTAGTCTGCTGAAGTATAAAAAAACCTTAGTGAATCTGAAAAAAAGAGCTATACAATAAAGTGGACTACAATTCAATATACCAGATACAAAATACATGGTATGGAGTTGACCAGATACAGAATATATCAAAGTTTTCTGTAATCCATGCAAAATCTGCCATAATAAAGTCTTGCTATAATGAAATGTCGTCTGAATAATCATCAGGTTTTTTTTCCAGCAGTGATTTAAAGGTACTGTATCTGTATAAAGATAGATTTGGCACCTCAAGTATAAATCTGAATCGTGCACCTTTATGGCTTTGCTCTGCTAATAATACTGAACGAGAAGCTTTTGACAGTGAAGTCTTACTTCAGTGGATTTTTTTTTCTTCTTTCATTCCTGAGGAGGGATGTTACTTCTAAGTAGGAAACTATCTGTCTGCCCGGCAGCGCCTCCAAAAGAGGCATTTTGGGCGTTATGAACTTCTCCCTTCGGGATTCTTGGCCTCTGCGGGATCAATCCAGCTTGTAGTCATTTTCTGCAATTGAGCCCCACGGCAATTGTTTACCAGCTTCCCTTGAAAGTCTTCACACAAAGCCCTGCTTTTCCGTGGGGCACCACATGCAGGCGACCAAGAAGCCCACTTCGAGATCCAAGGGACTTGGGAGTTTATGACCCAAGAAACCTCTCACGTCAGTTAATGGACATTTGTATGAGCGTGTACGAGCGCCTGCTTCTTCTCAAACACGAGTTCCTCTTTTCTACCTGCGTCCCTGGCACCAAACTACTTACAGGTCTAGAAAAGACCGATTTATAGGTACGTGATCGTATATGCATGTATCTGCGCGTGCACGCGCCGCGCGCGGAAGACCGCGTATGGGGCTGTATGTGTGCGCCTCCGTGTGAGTGTAGTTGCGTGCGTTTTTCTCTTTGGGTGTAACAGGCGAGCTGTATGGCTGGCTAATCTGTCCTTCAGTTCGTGAGCCAATGGCAGGCTCTCTTTTATAAAAATGAATGTTTTCGGTCTCTCTGGCTTACATGTACTGTATGGGAAACAGTGTGCGGTGGGCTCTGTTCAGAGCTTCTCTCTTCACTTTCATAAAGAAGCACTGAGTGACCACTGCTGCTTGCGCTCTCTCTCTCTCTCTCTCTCTCTCTCATAAACACACACACACACAAGTGGGAGGTAAGTGCCCCAGTCTCCCTCCTCTTCCCTGAGCGACTCTGGAGAAAAGGCTCTTCTTCCCAACACTTCCCTTTCTATTATTACTCACTTAAAAGCATTGGGGCAACCCCCAAGGACCCCGCCAAGCAGCTCCGCCGCCGCCAGCAGCGATAGCCGCCACAACCGGCAGGCTGGACTCTTCCGAGGAAGGCGCAGACCTTTTGACGTCCTTTGCCTCTTGCCTCAATTCCCGTTCACTTTCTGCCTCAACGCTCGCCTGTCCCCTGAAACTTTGGATGGGGGAGCCCGAGAGAAGGTCAGCGGATGGTGGGTTGGGGTTCCGTGGTGTGTGTGTCGGGGGGGGGCTGTGCGCGCGCGCGCGCGCCGGGTTTTGGGGGGGGAGAGATGGGAGAGGCGGAGGAAAGAGGTGAGTTGTAATGCAATGCATTAGGAGGAAAGGCGGCGCGGGAGGGGGACAAGGATAGGCCAGCCAGTGCCAGGCGGCGTTGGAAAGCAGCACCTCTCTCACCACGCAGAGACAGGAGCAGCAGCGGCGGCAGCAGCAACGGAGAGAGCGGAGGAAAATTAAACTGGCACCCCACCGGAGGAATGAAAACAACCTTCCCTTTCTCTTGGTGTGTGTGTGTGTTGACAGGGGCAGCAAGAAATGAAACTTAATTGTAAGAGTGGAGGCACGGAACTGGCGGGGGCATGTTGGTGCGTTGATTTATTTGCGTTGCGTGGCTCGTGTTTTGTGTCAGAGTGGGCGGTGGAGGGGAGAGAGAAGCTGGGTGCGGGGCGGAAAGCCATCTAGCAGGGTTCAGTTCGACTTGTGAGTTAGGAATCGGCATTTTCCGGTACAGAATCATATCTTGCAAGCACTTTCACTCCCTCCGTTCTGCCAGACAAACAACAAAATGTGCAATTATTAGACGATTTTTTAAAAGGAGATAGTGCGAGCTGAGGGAAAGAATAAAAGAGAGTTGGGGGGAGGAAAGGACGTAGGAGGAGAGAGGCTGTGTCAGGAGTTTGCATGAATGTGGGATTATGTTGTGTCAATAAGTTTAAGGTGGAGAGCGAGCGAGGCTGGGGGCGGAGGAAGGCCTTGGCAGTTTAAAGTCCTATTTCTAAAGGTAAGTTTTACCACCAAATGGTCGCGATGACAGAAAACTTGCAGATTATTTGCCCAGGAAGAAGAATGTGCGTCTTGGAGGCGTTATTGAGATTTCAACCAGCAGACGGGTGGTAAACTGTTATTTGCTGCTGCGAGATCGGGTGGATGGCAAATTACAGAAATCAGATTTGCATCCTGCTCTTTTCTTCCTCCCGGGTGTTTTATGTGAAACTTGCATAGCTGGATCCAGTATCGGGGCATTTTAAAAAACAGTTGAGCAAAAGGAGGTGGAGATGGAGACGGAAAACGTCTCCTTAATCCCGGGATCTAGAAAGCGGTAGGTTTGTGTTAGGAATATCTCTGTAACAATCCGCTGCCGGTTGAATGAGGAAGGTAAAATGAAACGGTGCAAAAAGAAGCAGAGGCAACATGTACGACCAGGAGGAGCGTGTGGGTGCGGGGATGGGGTGGGGGACTGGAGACAGAAAATACAGAAACGGTACCGTCCGTTTTCCTTTTTCTGTCGGGGAGGAAATAAAGGAGGGCGGGGAGTAAAACAAATAACCGGGTTGCGGTCATTCATGTCACGACCAGCGTTTGATTCTTCATTGGTTCATTTGTTTTTCATTTTCTGTTTCCCTTAAAAAAGTATAAGGGGCAAATTAGCGACTACTTGCCGGTAGATGTCGGAAAGTTTGTCAGAAGCGGGGCGGGTGAGTGGAAAGGAAAGAGCAGGCTGCTTAGGACGCTGACTTGGCCTGGGGTTTTGAAACCATTGCCTGTCCTACTCTTGACACGTTTAGATCCCTGTTCTCATCCTATGCATGGATGAAATAGGGACAGTTTATCACCCATCCAGACTCCTACTTATGTTGGGGTCTGTATGCGCGGACGTTTATATCCCCTCCCCCTTTCCGTCCGTCGGTCCCTAAACGTGTTAGAAGATGGAGCTACCACAGGATTCTGAGTTTCCATGTGGCTTCAGCAGCGGCACCTCTTTCTCCTCCTCCCCGGTGGCAGCAGCCGCGGGATCATAGCTTGGGCCTGCGCGGGGGGGGGGAGGAGAAGGGAAGTAAGAGCAGCGGCAGAAGGGAGGTGTTTTCTGCCAGTGTGATTCACCAAATATCGCTGGGGAGGCAAAGGGTATGGAGGAGGAAGATCGGGGCAGATCTGGCACCCCCCTCTCTGTGCACCCTTTCTGTCTCTCTGCCTTCCCTCTTCTGTTTCAGGCTCTACTGCAAGGTGTTGTGTAGACTTTTCCCCAAGGAAGGTTGAGATTTGTATATTGCATTACTGCCTTTCATTAAGCACCCCCACCCCAGCAAGATGGACTCTCTTTTCCTCATTCTCTTTCCCTGTGTCTTGTCAGCCTTTAAGATCGACATTTTGTAACTGAGATGCAAAGTTGATGGTGACCAGAAGAAAAAAAAGAAAAGCCCTAGGTTTCTTCTTAGCTGCTCTCTATATTTAATAACCTTCCTGTTCACCCTCAGACCCCACTGGCCCTGCCTACACTTATATCATGGGGTAGGTGGCTAGTCCAGTGGGGGTAGTTTGCAAGCAAAAGCTCTTTTTCTTTTCTGTGTGCTTATGGGAGTGTAATCTTTGTTATTTTTTCTCTTTCTTTGAATTTTCTTGGTGAGAAAAGGGAACAGGGATCTTAATCAGGAAGTAGGCTACAATGTTGCTGTTTCTCCTCTGTAGATCTCTAATCTACAGTTTGGATTCCATACTAGATTTCATTTGGTAAATGATGGTGGTGTAATTCAAATATATATATATGGATCCCTGATTAAACAATTACATGCGCACATCAAGGGGATTTCCTTCCTGTTTAAATTATTATTTCAATGAGAGTTCAACTTTCTTGTTATTTGCCATCTTGGGTGCATTAGAGAGAGTGGCCCAAGAGAGAGAGTGAAGGAAAAACAAAAATAATTCATCCTTCTGATTACTTAGTCCCAGTGTCCTTTTATAAGCATGATGCTTCTTTCATTAGCTATTTAGCTGTCACTTTTATTTTATCAAGGCACCCCCTGATTCACATTTTAATAATAACAATGTTGGAGGGTTAAAGGTGGAGCAAAATAAGTTATAAGTTTGGGGTTCCATCAGCCTGGCTGCAGTATTGATATTCCTTTATTTAATATTTTCTAGGTCATTGTCACATGACAAAGGTTTGGAGACAGTTTAATTTTCCCGTCCTTGTAATTTTCATTTACCATCCCAGGTAAGTATGTAAACTGTATATTAAAATTGCTGATAATAATAAGATAAAATCTGCTGTTTGGGATCAAAGCTGCTTTATCACAATGTAGTAACAGATGCTATAGATTATTAAAATATACAAAACAGTTATACAATAAAGTACTTCACAACTGTAATTAGTTGAAATGGTAATAATTAAAAAGTTATAGGTTAAAAATAATAGAGAGTAGGTGTATCTTTTAGTTCATCTGATTTTAAAACTGCAGATATTCAGTACAACACTGATACTGAAATTTCTCGTCTTTTTATATTTTAATTAGTTATTTTTATTGTACACATAAAAGTTGAGTATTTCTCTCATAGTACTAATAACTAAGCATTACTACTACAATACGTATAATGAATGACATTCTTATAAATAGGCTAGTGTAATAACTTTGTTGTCATTACATTCATTCAATATTAGGATGTATGCCTTTTTAGAACTTGGAAGGAAATTTTCATCTCTAAGTCCAATTTACGTTTTTTGGATAATTTAAATTTTCTACTGAAAATAATTTTCCATATTTTAAATATCTATCTATAAAGCCACCCATCTCTCAAGTAGTGACTCTATGCAGCATACAACAAATATATGGGAATAAAATGTAAAAAACCCCCATTAATTAAAAAGCATAAAACATAGATTAGCTGGATTAGCTAGTCACCTCAAAATCTCACTGGTCTCCTGAGATGATAGAGCCAGGTTTTGAGTAACTTACTGGAAAGTAAATAGGGATGGAGCGAGGAGCAGAGGAATATTCCATTAGGAGGCTACCATGGTAGAGAAGGCAAGCCTACTCAGGCCCACCAAGTGTAATTCCTTAACAGAAGGGACCCACAGTACATTTTTTCTGCTGGATTGATGATGGAGGAGTAATTGAGGAGAGAATCACTCAGATAACCTTGCCTTGTCATGAAGGGTTTAAGGGTCAAAAATAGCATCTTAAATTGGACCTAGAAGCAGACTAGCAATCAATGCAATTCATAAACCAGAGGTATAATAATTGATATACTAGGAGCACCCATAACTGACCCACTGCATTTTGCATCAACTGAAGCTTCTGGATACTCTTTAAGGGCAACCCCATATAGAATGCATTACAGTGATCCATATGGGAGGTGACTAGGGCATGAGTGACTGAGCAGAACCCTCTGATTCAAGAACGAGCGCCATTGGCACATAGCACAAAGCTGTGCAAAGGCCCTCCTAACCACGACTGCCACTAGTTTTTTTAGAAGGAGTCGTAAGTCCCGAAGTCTTACCAGATTGTGCACTGTCTAGGGGTCCAACCCCAGCACTAAACATGTTTAGTCCTAGAACTGGCAAGGCCCAAACCCCAAAGACTCCCAGTCTTGCCAGGGTTAGGCTGAAGCCTGTTTTTCCTCATGCAGACCCTCATATCCACCAGGATAGGCTATTCATTGCATTGCTTAATTTTCCACTATTAGGAAAAGTAATAATAACTAATTATTAGTAATTATTGGAACATAGCATCTATAGGGACACTAATATTTTAGGTCTTACAATTTTTGTTTTGTTTTGTTTTTAATTATTTAACAGTATTTATAGCCTGTCCCAACCTTGAGAGACTCAGGTTATAAAAAAAAGGTCTGAACAATAAAAGTTAATTCACAAAATTAAGGCATCATCAAAAAATCATCAATAAACATGGTGGGTGTTTTTGAGATTGAATATTTTAAACTAAGGGCTAAACTCACACTGAATAAAATTGATTTGATCTGCTTACAAAATATCAGCCAAGTTGGGCCTTTTAAATCTCTCTGGTAGGCACTTTATAAAGTGAGACTGCCCCAGGAAGACCTGTTACCTGATTCATGCCCCATGAACTTTGCACAGAGGTGGGTATTGTGGCAGACCCTCGCTTGATTATTAGACCAGACTTGCAGACTTGATTCTGCATCTTGTTGCTTGATATATTATTGATATGCCTTATTATGGACTATGTGCATTTGGCTCCATAACCTAAATGTTTTTAAAAGGTCTTAGTAGTTCACTCTTTCATGAATGGATGCTCACATTTATTTTGCCATTTTAAATATGCTATGTTTTTAAATATGTTATATTATATTGTTTGGGGTAATGAGTAGTTTCACTTCTTTTTTTCACTATATTTTTTATTTTAATCAGAACAAAGTTAAAATACAAAATGCAAAACTAAATAAAAATCCAAGAAGACATAAAAGAAAAAAATACAAAACACAAAGCAATCAGAACATTAAAAAAGTGCATCAAAACAACAATAACACATTTTATACATCTTATTCCCTGTAGTTGTATACTTAATAATATATTACTACAACATTAGTTCCCACCCCTTGTGAAACAGGCCCTCCCAATATTTTGAAACTATTAAATCTATTAACAACTTGTTGACCTGTCTTCTATATGTTACATTAGTGACAAAGTAGTTAACAGGGAAAACAGTAATAGTAAAACAGAACAAAATTCTCTATTAACTGTTATTGTAATCCACTCATAGAAAATTTACCATGGCATCTTAAGTTTCCCGAATCATCGCAAAAGTTATAAATAGATCATCCTGGGTCAAAAATCCATGTTTGTTTCTTAATATCCTCTCTTGTCAATTGTTTAATTAAATGTAATAAATTCAATCTCCAGAACAGGTCTATCTTCAAGTCAGAATGCAAGCAGAAGTAGTTAACAGTTAACTGTAATAAATCCATCCAGTCTCCCTTTATCTGCATCCCTCTTCCAAAACTTACACCACATATTACAATGTGGTTTAATGATTATGTATTAGGAATATTTCACCTGTGTTATATAAGTGGTAAACAAAGAATTTGCTCAGATTCCCTATTGGAATAAATATTCTAGCATAAAAAGAACCCTCTACCTCATAGCAGTAGTAAGATAATGGATGTTCAAATCCCTTAATATGCAACTACACTAAAATTCTATGCCTAATATGAAGTATGATGATGTAGGAAGGCAAATTGTTTTGTCTTCTTTCACATTGTATTACTGCAAAATTTTAAGAAAGTGATGAATACAGAAAACTATATTGTAAGTAAATAATATTTATTGTCCTAACCACCATGGTACACATACACATATACACATACACAAACATCTTTGTTTATTATGTGTTATAAATATGCAATTGTATCAAAGCCTTACAAGTATAAAACTGTGTTTTGGAACAAACTCTGTCATAGATTAGTTTTAGAGGCAGCTTAGTATTTAGTAAAAAATGTAGTTTTTAAAGACAGTGCTGAAGTAATTTATGGTAAATTTGCGCACAGTGATTTGGAAAGTGTACAGAAACTCAAATAAAAATGCAACTAGTCCTCGACTTACAACCATTCATTTAGTGATTGTTTGAAGTTATAACCGCACTGAAAGAAGTGACATTACTGTTTTTCATACTTATGACCATTGCAGCATCCCATGGTAACATGATCAAATTTCAGACCCCCTAGGAACCGATGCATATTTATAACAGTTGCAATGTCCCAGGGTCATGTGATCACCTTTTGTGACCTGCTGACAAACAAGTCAATGGGGAAGCCATATTCATGTAATAACACTTTTACTAACTTAATAACTGCAGTGATTCACTGTGTCAAGAAAGGTTATAAAAAACTCACTTAATAACTGTCCCACTTAGCAATAGAAATTTAGAGCTCAGTTATGGTTGTAAGTCAATATCTTGTTGTATATCAACACATTTTTGAGTGTATGTTTTTCAAATCAAGATGTTGAATTAGTATTAAAATAAGTCTGGATTTAGGTAAACTTTATTTATTTATTATTACTTTTACAAATAACTCAAAGTAGCAAACATGTCCAATATACCTCCCTCCTATTTTCCCCATAATAGCAACCCTGTGAGGTGAATTAATGGCAGAACTAACAGCTAAATTCCAGTATTGACTTAATCTTTACATCTTATATTTTAGTTGAATAAATAAATAAAAAATAATAAATTAATCATATGGAAAGCATGGTTAAGTTTGAATCAAATTCAAAGCTATTTGAGAATACAATTAATGAATGCAGATTGACTTTATTGTAGATATGCTTCTTTGGCTGACTATACTATTAGGATATTTAAATAAAATCCAGATAAATGCAGGTGTTTCTAAATAGATAACTAGATTTGGTAATTGTTTAGCTACTTTACAATAGGACTGCTTTTTGAGAGTACTTTTTGATTTGGGCTATCACTGAATTCAAAGATAGTGACTGGTGGAGACTGTTTTTGCACATTTTCAGCTAGTGTACAGGTACAGGTCCTACTATTTTTCCTGAGCCAGTAAATTATCCATAGCTTAATTAAATCCTATCTTAATTACTGCAGGAAACAATCCTTGAAAAGGTACCACAAGTTGTAATTAGTTGAAAAAGTGACAGCTAGGCTGATGTCCCATACTAGGTACAAGAAACGCATGGTACTAGTATGGTATTTATCTTTAATGCCCTAAAGGTATAACAGTAGCCTAAAGATAATAATAATAATAATAATAATAGTAAAGTTGGAAGGGACCTTGGAGGTCATCTAGTCCAACCCCCTGCTCGGGCAGGAAACCCTACACCATTTCGGACAAATGGCTGTCCAGTCTCTTCTTAAAAACTTCCAGTGTTGGAGCATTTACTGCTTCTGGAGGCAAGCTGTTCCACTGATTAATTGTTCTCACTGTCAGGAAGTTTCTCCTTAAGGTACAATTAAGATATGTTTTTAGTTACAAATTTGCCAGTAATCACAATCTGCAGGAGAGGTTCTACTGACAATTTTTCTGGTCTTAGGTGCTTGTTTTGTTGTTTATTTATTAGATTCATATCCTTATTTTTGTCAGGAGCTCAGGATGGCATGCAGTGATCCCTCATCTCATTTCATACAACAATGATCCTGTGAGGTGTGTTGTGCTAGGAGGCTGAAAGAAAGGGCTTTCTTCTGTATTGCTTCTGGGTTCTCTTCAGAGTTGCAGTTGGGTCAGTTCTGTCTTCCAGTTTAAAAAAAAAAATCTAGAAGGATATTTCCAAAGGCCAGAATGTTAATTATCAGTTGGTTTAAGAACTCTTTTTGTTTGTTTAAATTTTGTTTGTTACTTTGTGGGTTCATTTGAGCCAAAATGGATTATAATGGAATAAATTAATAATGTCAATAGAGTTATAGTTTTGAAGCACTTCAGATGCTTCGTTCACATGGCACAAATGATGCTCCTAGATTAGTTCAGTGCAACTTTCATCAGGTATAACTGACAAAGACCAGCATTATATTTTTATAATATCTGGAGGGTGTTGAATTAGAAAAAGCTGTGAATGCATAACTATTATTTGTCTGAATATTATAATCCATCATAGTTTAGAGAGAAAGTTTCTATACTTATCATAGATCTGTCAACCATATTTCAAAAAGTTGGGCCATTATGTAAAACTACTCTGATGCTCAGTAACAAATTAATACAAAAACTCTGGAAGCATCTTTTTTTTTTTTTTTTTTGCAGAATGTGATTCATGTCATTTTACTTAACTGGGAGAATTGTATTTTAAGTCTGAATGTTTGTGACTGGAAGATTCAGTCAGCCTCTGGGAGACGTCATCTGTTGATCTGGTGTGAAGCATTATCAGTATGCTGATGATACTCAGTTGTACATTGACATCCCAGCCAAGCTAAAAATGTTATAAAAATCCTGAACCAATGACTAGAGATTACTGGTGATTAAATTCTCCCAGGTCAGCATTACTGTTTATCAACAAATATCTGGTGGCAATGGTGCAAGTAGTTATTCCTGGCAGAGTTACAGTTTTCCCCCGAAAAGGTAACTTGTCACATGGGAGCTCTACACGATTTCTAACTCATGCTTAAACAATAGGTGGAAGGCGCGGACTAAGCTTCCTTTGCCCAGCTCCAGCAGTGCATTAATTTCAGCCCTACCTGGTCAAAATGAAGATGCTTTTGTGACAGTACTTCACACCTTGATCCCATATGGATGGACTACTGTAATGCTGTGTATGTGGTATCTCCTTTGTGGAGATGACTCAGAAGTTCCAACTGTACAGAATGAGGTAGCCAGGCTACTAATATAATCCAGTTGTGCAGATTAACACCAATTTTAAGGTCACTGCATCAGTTGCCAATAGGTTTTAAGGCATAATTCAAAGTTCTGATCATCACCTTTAAAGGCCTACCTGCATGATATATGAAGAACAGTTTGTCAGAGTTGAATAAGTCTATTTTATTCAAAAATTCCCCTCCTTGTGTTGTGAACCAGAATAGTGGTGGCCCCACCCTATGGAATAATGTACCACGTAAATAGTTGTAGCTCCATCCTACCTAATATTTTGCAAGACCTATTCCATGGTCCTTTTGGCCTTGATGGATAGTAGATGACATATTTAGGAATTATGTTTTTGTTGATACTTATTTGGTTGCTCTTATTGCACATCATCAAGAAACTTGATTCATAGTAATTCATGGATAATGTAAAACAAATACATTAGCAGGTGAATTAATTCCATTCAAAATTATGAATCAGATATCAAGAATACAATAATGTAAAAAAAATATAGACAAGTTAGGATTTTGTTTCCTATTTTTGGTTTTCCTTCTGTCAGATCTAAGTTAAATGCCAGATACTTTAGTCAGGGATTTTGAAAACAAGGTCAAGATTCCTGATTCTCTGAGTATGGTTGCAGCTTCTGGGTCATACCTGAATACAACCAGTATTAGTAATCAAAATGGAACACTTTAGAAACTAACTCAGTACCTGTCAGGTAAGACAAAAGAATTCCCCTGCTTTAGAATATTCCAGACTTGGCCCTGACTCTTCTGTTTGAGCAATTGGTTAATTGATTCAACACTAGCCAGCTTTTAGACTGTCCCCAGAAGCCTATTTCTTTTTCTAGTGTGCTCATCTGCCTGCAAGAGCTGGCTTTGCCTGCAAACAGCTATCCCTGACAATAGCTCTGTGTCTACTACAGATAGGAAAGAGCAGCAGGAGTCATGATAATTTAATGCAATAGATCCAGAGAAAATAATTGATGGATATTGTTCTGTTGGTCATAGGAAGGAAAACAATACTGTTTATCTTCAAGTTTAATTGAATATTCCAAAATACAGCATGCTTTACTATGTGCAAGGTAGACCAGAAAGCTCTTATGGTCCTCAGCAGTGTAATTACTTTGTATTTTACTGATGAAGTGAAATATACAGGCTCTTGTATTGTTATGTAACAATTATGGAGAATTCATTTGGGTTGTGCAGACAGTAAAGATATAAAACATGGGAAGCATAACAGTGAGTGTAATCAGTCCCTGTGGAGATGACAAAGTCATCATCTGGTACAGTATTCCAAGTTCTGTATATGACTGTTAGCAGAAAATGTAAGCATTCATTTTGAAACATCCCTTAGAGGAAAAGGGTGGACTTAAGTGGGAAGTTAAATGCAATATACCAATTCTACTACTGAACAATGAAATTAAGCATGGTGACAGTGACAACAATATTCTATGAGGCTGAGGGATAGCAACTGAGCCATTAGCAGGTCGGGGACCTTCACTTTGAAAGATGGTTACGGTTAATTATATAATTTATCCTAAATTCTAATAGTTTTTTCTACTAGATTTGAAACTGGTATTATGTACATATAGGTTGTATACAATAAATGCATTTCAGGCACTTTGTTACATTCTAGGGTAGAATATATATTGAGCTTCAATTGGGGACAGTATTTGTCTGGCCGTGTCTGAGTTGGAAGCTACAGCCATATGCAAATTTTAGCTATCCCAAGCTGAATTGTAAGTTTCAGGGAATCCTTAAGGGTCAAAAGCGTAAACAGTTACATCACAAGGTGAAATAATACCTTTGTAGACATTTGTATATCATCATCATCATCATCATTCTAGCCATTGTCTATCCACTGCAGGATGAAGGCCTCTTCTGCATGTTTCTAATCAATACAATCTTGAGCTTTTTTTTTTTTTGCCAGTTGGGTCCATAATATTTGCTGATGTCATCAATCCATCTTGTTTTAGGTCTCTTTTATGGATGCTTTTATCAAGTGGAATCCATTTTATAATTGCCTTAGTCCACCTGCCATCAGTTCTTCTAGCTATGTGACCAGCCCATTTCCATTTCAATTCTTTTACTCTCTTGATGATATCATAAGACATTTGTGTGTGTGTGTGTGTGTGTGTGTGTGTGTATGTATATATGTATATATATTATTCATGTGTAGTGGCGTACAGATTCAAAATAAAAAAGGGAATATGGCGGGCAGGTAAAGAAGTTGTAACACTCTTTCAATTAGCAATTTGTACCGTCTGCTTTCAGAAAAATAATTGCTTTCAAATATTTTCAAAGCCACCAAGACTCTGTTCTTGCTTTTAGAATTTGTTTCTTTGCAAAATCTTCTAGCTCAGTAATATCCTTAGGACCCTAGTATATACTATATATCTAAGATCTCCCAATAGATTTCATTAATATTTTGAGGAATTCTGAAGACAGTTCTAATATCTGTCTGTCTGTCTAACTATCTATCTATTAATTGATTATTTGGAACTATATTGTAGATTATTGTCTTGCTGAAATATCCTATTTTTATTTCAGCTTTAGAAGTTGGCAGTGTTCAAAAATCTACCAAGGAGATGATACAAAGTATGATTCCCGTGTTTTATATTTTTCTTATTTTGAATTTTTAAGCAATTACAGAAAAACGTTGATTTTAACTTTGTGCAATACAGAGGCTATGTCAGTTTCTGATCACTTTCACTGAAGCATGCAATTTTACAAAGGTTGATTAAACTTTTCCATATAGCTTTAAGTAGAGGTGAGCATGATTAGTACATAGATGGGAAACTATCAGAGGCTACCCAGGCTATAGACTGATGGGAAATTTAAAAATATCCTGGAAAAGGCAGTAAAAAAACACTTTCACACACTTGGCAAGTAAACTGTATGGATACATCTATAAAGTCTTGAGTCAAACTTGGTTCAAGAGATTTTATATATGCTTTCCAACTAAATGTAGATGAATGATTATTGCATTAAAGTTTCATGTTCTGAAGTATTTAAGGAATCTTTGGCAAACCCCCTTGAATTAGGACATATATTAAACTTGCATATGCAGAATGTACAAATTACTTCAAAGCGTGGCTGTTTTGCATAGCTCAGTTCTTTATTATATAGACAATGAGAGTGCAATTGTTTTGCAAGTTTTTTAACTGTTAAATTGGCCATTTACAATATATAGTACATTGTGATTCATCATCATGGTGTCTTTGATACTTTTGCTTATATGGTTAATTGTTTCCATGTTTTACCATAGGCTTCTGGTAGAATGTTGGAGAAAAATTTCCCAAATTTCTATGCATATTTTATTTTGCTCCAAAGTCATAATCATGCAAGGCTTCAAGTAATCTTCTCTTCCATAAACATATTACAACCATTATATTTTCAGAGTAATATATTGCTTCAAAATCCTACCTCATCTACAACATTTGAGATATTATTATTCCTTAGTTTTTTTGATCTTGGTTTGTCATATAATAGTCATATTATAGGATTTAGGATTTATCATATATAAATCATATTGATAAATCCTAAGTGCTAGGAAAATGAGGAAATGAAAGATAATGGTATGTAAAAGAAAGTTAATAATAAGACTGTTATTCCAAATAGAAAGTCCTCAGTTAATATCATTCATTTAGTATCCGTTCAAACTTATGATAGTGCTAAAAAGGGAGATTTATAACCAGTCCTCAAAGTTGTTTTCTGTTTTTTAATTGATTTAGATTTTTTTCCCTATAGGGTAAAAGAAAAATTTAAAGAAGAAAGGAAAGAAAGAAAAAATGCAAGGGAAAAACTCCTAAAGTTAGGGAATATATGAATGACTTTCAACCTTCTTTTCAACAG